AAAAAGTTTTCATTAAGTTTAATAAAGATAAGAGCATGGTCTCACCTTTAACATTAAAAAAAAAAAAAAAAAAAAATGTATATATAGGTTAATTTAATTGTTACTTATATGAGATTAATATATGTATATACATACAGTATAATCGAGGTGACATGGTGATATTATCGTAAATATTACCGATCTACATCACATGACCAAAAACCAGGCACAGATTTTAGATATATTTATCTAATATTGATATACATAGAGTATAGTCATTCTTCTATACAATCACACAGTTGGGCATATAATAACTTTTTTTTTAAAATGTGCTTATAGAGGAGTTGTGCTTATATGAAGTTTTTTCTTATAAATTAAATTATATTTTGGTTTAAATAAAAAGTGATTACATATGATATGATTATATAGGAGGTGACTATATAGAGGAATGACTATAATTTAGAATATTTTTTGCTTAAAAGAAATTCATTTAAAGATTATGAGGTGTAATTGATTGGCTATACCACAACTTTTAAGAATATTTGCTATCAATTAGTTAAGTACACTACGTCTCTAGTTGCAGTTTGAAAGCAAAAAAAAAAGTTTGTATATATACAGTATAATGATTAATACTCAATAACTCCTTTATTATATACTATATTACTATATTACTTGCTAAATTTGTTTTCTAAATAAAGTCTTTAGTAATAAGAGAGGTGTCATTAATCACCTGATTTTTTTTAAATAGTAGCCTTACCCCCTTTCCCCACCTGACTTAAAAAATTAATCAATTAAATTATAATATATAAAATATAATAACATATATATATATATATATATAATTAATAATATATATTTATTATCCTTGTCAAAACCAATAACCTCTCATACTCAGTAAAAATCGATTGTTTTATATATAATCCAAAATCTAATAACTTGTAACCAATACTTCGGGTTTGTATAACTAATTAGAAAATACAATTTCATTGCTCATTTTCAACTCAGGCTTTTTTTTATTGTGGTTTACCAAAATAATATATCTTTGATCAACTTGTAGATTTATACAAACACCTTGTTGTTGACCGATTGCATGATTGTAAAGTGATTCTTAGTCAAAAACTTAGTATAACTAAAAAATTATTGAGTATAATTGTGCAATCGGATAACACTAGATGATTGTATAAGTTGCATTCTCTGAATTTGATTATACACAATTTATTTTTTTATAATCCAGGATTTTTTTATTCAATATTTAAATTAAAAATTTTTATTTTGTTTTTGTTTTAATTTTTTTTTTTTTGTAATTTTTAACTTAATTTTTTTTACATTAGCTTAATTTAAGATGTCCTTAAAAATCTATCTCAATGAACTTAATAAAGAATCTTTTCCAATCTGATTCTTATTGAGTTTATCAAAATCGGTATTAATTTAATTTGGTTTTAAATTTTTTTAAAATTTTTAATTTATTTATTATTCAAAATTATACAATTTTACCTTAGCCGAGATGTATTAGCCAGATACAAACATTGCTTAAAATAATCCTGGTTAGAAAGAAGAAAACATTAGCTAGTGTATGCTGATATATTTTGCAAAAACACTTTACTGGAGATAGTCAAACAATGGAAAAGCATTAGCAAACATTCTACAAAAATGCTCGCTAACTTTTTTGAATGAACTTGGCTCTGAAAGTGGAAGAGATTTGAATCTTGAAGTAATAATCTTGGATTAGAAAAATAAATGATTTTGCAATGCTGAATCTTTGATAAACTTGGATTAGTAGGAAGAAAAAGCATCAACGAATATATTTTGCAAGAACAATATTTTGGAATGAAATCTTCAAAGTAATGATCCTGAATCGGAATAATCCTGAATTGGAATAATAAAAACATTAGCAGATGCACTCTACAAAAATACCTAAAAAGATTGAATCTTCAATATAATAAACATGAACTAGAAAAAGGAAAAGGAAAAGTATTAGCATATACACTTTTCAGTTTTAGAGTAGATGCACTTTGCAAAAGCAATATTCTAAAAGATTTGAATCTTCAGGCTAATGATCTTGAAACAGAAGAGAGAAAGAATTAGCAGATGATTAGATAATTAATTATATTTTTAGAATTAAGTGTTTTTTCTTGCAAAGTGTATTTTCTACTTTTTGGTTATAATTACCTTAATTAAAAGTCAAAAATCAACACATTTGCTATTAAAATATATCTGCTATTGTTTTTCACCTCTAAAAGTTAGTCAGTGCATTGTTCCTTAAAACTCATCTGTTAGCACTTCTACACCTTCTATTTCAAAGTTTGTCATAGCCAAAATCAGCATGTTGTCTTTAAATAGTATTTGTCATTGCTTTTTTCAAACCAAAAGTAAGAATGTAGTTTCTAAAAAGCATCTGTTAATTGCTTTTTCTCTTCGGAGTTTATATAATTCCTGAAGAGCACACCTTTAACAACACCAGTAAGAACGCCGATGACAACTATAAAAAGGTGCATTCTACTAACAGTCGGCAACTTTAACAACCCTATGCCTAAACGAAAAATAATATAAGTATATTTGAATAGTCTATACAAATACTTAAATTAAAAAACAATTTAAAAGAGACATCCATAATTTATGTTAAACCAGAATTGTTATAAGGATCTTAAAGAGAATACAAAAATAATATTATGTAGAATTAATTATCTTCAAGGTCTCTATTTTTATACAATACTGTACTGGTTTAATGTAAATTATGAATGTCCCCAAACAGATATATTTTTATTATTAAGTTTCAAATAAATATATTAAAATTAATATGTAATCGGTATGTTGCGAGTTTTCACTTTTCTGTATAAGGATAGTAAAGTCTCCAAATTTTAAAATTAAATAGATTTAAATTTTAAGATTAAAAAATAGATGCTCTTTAGGGTCTTTTATGAGTATTTCAAGTCCCAATTACCAATGCCGTTTTCAAGAAATAGCATTTTGGTAAACTTCATCTCTGGTGAGTATTAAAATTGCCTGTTATGCTTGATGCTAGGAGAAAACCTGTATGCATTGTAATTACAGATTTTTCTTTGGTAGGCACTATTTGAAAATCAAAAGAATTAATCATTATCAATAATGAATATGCATATTTGAGATAATGCAAGGTGGGCATCATTATACACTTATACAGTATGCAAGAAAAAAATTTTAATAGAGTGATTATTCTTGTTGTCCAAGACAGGTAATCAATTATATATAAGGAATTGGTATTCAAAAGGATGATATATGTAAATAGATCTCATGCATAAACACGTGTTGCCTTATTTCTAAGCTTTGAAATAAAGACAAAAAACAACTTACTTGATTCATAAAAAGCAAAAATAAATAGAAAAAGTAAAGCTTCCGTGTGAATTTAGTATTAATTCTATCTTATATTATTGTTTCATTTAATTAAAATGATTCAATTCAAATATATACATACATACAGTATTACAGTATTCTCTTTAAACCAATTCTTACTGCTTCTGTTTTAATCTATAAAGCTAAATAAATATTTTTGCAAAACCAATTTGAACTGAATGTTCATAATCAAACCTGTTTAGTATATACTATAAAAAAAAATCTTAAAATAGACAAAAATCCACTTGATAAATCTTATCTTTAATAATAATACAAGTATTAGTTATATATATAATATATGACTAGAAGCAAAAAAAAAAAAAAAAAACTACATATAAAAATTCATCGTTTTTGTTTCCAATAAACAGTACTCTCAATAATTTATAATGCAGATTTTTTTATTCACACCAAAGTTTGACAAAACATATGTTTATTCAAATTCTAAAAATATCTACCAATGTTTTGTTAATGCATTTGCCTACTACAAAATGGCATCAAGCGAAATATCATTAATAAATAAACAAGCTATATGTAATGAGGCAGCTACAGAATAGCATTCTGTAAAAAAAAAAAGAAATTGAAGAAATTGAAAAAAAATTAGAGAGTACTTAACTACTCCAGTTCAATTGCATGGCTGTATGACAGTTTCTACTACTAGTAGGCAGCTTTTTCCACCTTCTTCCAACCAACCTCACAATCAACAATTACAAAGTTCTTCTAGTTCTTCTTCATTTAAACCAATTTATCATAATGCAATAGCGCAAAAGCAAGCTTTTAATGAAATAGAAAGGTTAAAAAAAGAATTAGATGAACTAAATTCAATAGCTTCAATAATAACTAATCTTTAGCTTCATAATGACCTTAGTTTATGGATAACTGCAGTTCAAAAAGATATAAAAAAAGAAGAAGATCGACTTAGAAATCTTAAAAGCTATGCATAACCAACAAAAATCTCAAATGAAAAAGTTTAAAACACTCAAAGAAGTCATAAGATATAATTCTCCCGGACGTCTGCCCCTTCTATTCCAGCACCCAAATCTTTATGAACAAATCCATAGTTGCATAGAATTTGGAGAAGCTGATGCAAAAAAAAGACATAAAATTATTAAGGTCAGAACAGTAAATTATCTTTAAAGTGCTTTGGAGGAAAATTATAATATATATATATCTTGAACAACTATAAGAAACTACATTTTACCTCGGTCAAACTGTAGTTTAGCTGCAAGAACCCTACCATACTGCTTTTGTTAGAATTGCGGGTGTTTCAAGAAATAAAAAAAGCAACCATGTGGATGGGCATTACTGTCTTGCATCTGTCAAGAATGCAAGACAGTTTGCTAGACTTTTGCTAATTTTTCTGTAGTGCTTTCTCAAGATGATAAGGTGAAGATTCTAGTTGATATTCTAGCTGTGGGAAAACATTTTCGAACTATACAAACTATTTATAAACCCATTTCTATTGCCAACCATGATTTCTCTATTGGCCCGTCCCAAAAATTAATACTATCAGTATATTTAACAATAAACCCCAATGAATCAAATGAATTTCAGCAAAATGGTCAGTTAGCAATCTTTATCCAAGCTCAATGGTATATTGGTTTTTCATCTACTTTACATATGACGGATCTTCTGTCTTTAGTAGGTAATTAAGGATAACAAATTTTTTTTTATTAGGCTATATAAAATTAATTTTTTTGGTTCTTATAAAATTTTTTTACAAAATTTAAAAAAATTTAGCTAGATAGTAAATATTTTGTTAAATTTGACCTGGCCAGGTTATGAGAACCAATTAATTAAGTTTGTATGCCTTATATATAGCAATTATCAATATAATGAACATATATATAACAAATTAATTTCAAATTTATTGAAAATTTGTTATGAATATTACGCAAAAATACTATTGTTGATACTATTCTTGATGAGACAAAAAAAAAATCGATTTACATACCGTTCTTAGGGTTCTTCCAAAGTTAATTCTTATGACAATGCTTAGTTATAATGCGAATACTAATTCATGACCTGTAATTAATTCACAATATTGATTTCAACTTTACTAAATATTAGGTACAAAATAATACTGTATCATATCTACGCGAAAAACTTCCATAGCCATTATTCAAAACAAGTAATTTGAAGAGAGCTAATAATTAATTTAGCAAAAGAATTATTAGTATTAAAATTATGGTCATATTTGTCTAAATTAAATATTAACTCTCTTTAAATTACATGTTTTAAAATAATAATTATAAGCAATATTTCACGTAAATTCAGTAAGAAAATTTGGGTCGAAAAACTTTATTACAGCTATTTACATAAATTCTAAGACAACTAATAAAAATTGATCAGCCGAATTCGATAAGTTCAATAAGTTTTTGAATTTGCCGAAATCAAATTTCAATAACACTAAATTCAAAAACTTATTGAATTTAGCCGAAATAATTTTTATTAGTTGTTCCAGAACTTACGAAAACAGCTATAAATAATTAAATACTAATTTCCATTTTTTTTTGAATTTTTTGTTATGCATTACTATTATAATCTGCAAAATTTTTATGCAATAGCCTTATATCCTGATAGTAGCTTAGTACCCAATCAGAAATAGTATGTAAATCATTTTTTTCGTTCTATCAAAAACAGTACCAGGAACAGTAGTTTTGCAAATATTACAGTATTAGTAAAAAAATAACAGATTTTTCAAAAATTTTTTATTAATTCTGTTACAGATAGTTAATTACAGTTAAAACAGGTGATGATTATAAACTTAATATACTAGTAGACTTAAGGGTAGAGGGTATGTAGATCATTTCTATTAACAAATGAGTGACAAAAAATATTTTTACTATGCATTAAAAAGTTGCTACATATAAAAGTTAATTTTTTTCTATATAAATTGATATTTATATACTAAGTAAAATTGTTCGCAATAAAAAATTATATATATTCTAAAAATTTTATTAATTTTTAATAAAATTTGATAAAGTTTATATAGTACAAACTTTTGCAGGGGCCAGATCTATTCTGCAGGGGTGATCACAAATTGGCCAATCAAATCACGTATAAACAATATATAAAATAGGGTCGCAAAGATAAAAACTACTATATTTTATATTCTACTAAGCCAATTTTAATAATTCGATCACTGTTAGAATTAGAAAAACCTCCTTTACAATTATATTTAAAAATTTAATAGTTATTTAATAAAAAAATTATTATTATTAAATATGAAATTTTTAGTAACTAGTTTATTAATAGAAATGATCTACATACCCTCTATCTTTAACTATTAAGACTTTAATCATCACCTGTTTTAAATCATAAAAAAAATATAACTTTTTTTTTTTTTTTACCATCTTTATAAATAATGAAGACTTTACTCCAATTTTTAAACGTGGTGGAGTGGTCAAGCCCTTATGAGTTATTCTCGTGAATGGTGGGCCCGACAAGAACTCTCATTATTTAAAAAATATAAATCAATATTGCAAGTTATTTCGTTATTTAGATTTGGATTACATAACAATTAAAACACATGCATCTGGATAGTTGTCTTATAATCTTGTAAAGAGAAGTATAGTGATGCTCTCAGGAAAACTTGCTAGAATTATATTACAAATTAATTATTTTGGAAACCATCTAAACTCACAAGGAGAGATTTGTGATTATGAATTGGAACTTCGTAACTTTTGTTATGCAGATCAGGCCCTAGCTGATTTGTGGAAAAAAGACCCTATTTATGGCAATTCTGTTTTTGCCGAGTATATCAATGAAAAGCAAGATCTATTTATCAATGTTAAATTTTTATCAGAATTCAAACAGAGTGTAAATGAAGAAGAAATACTCGTACCTTGGTCATGGGTGAAATTCTACTGTCAAATTTGCCAATATTCCTTAGATATTAAAAAATGCAATAATTTATCCTGTTGTACTTCAAAACAAGTTAATGAAGCAGCTGCATTTTTAGGTAAAAATAATGGCTTCTTACCTCCAGTAATTAAAATGAAAGATAGTTATTATCTTAATGCTATGCATGCGCTTCAATATTTCAGCAACCTAAAAATTCCTGCTTATAATTTATATCTTCCCTTTCTCTTATCTGAGAATCATTCAAGGCAGTGCTGTAAAAAATGTAAAAAATACTTCTCTACAACAACTATGCTTGTAAAGCATAAAAAAACAGTTCATCCCAATTCACAAAAGTGATATTTGAAATCTCAAACCAATTTGGTAACCATGGATGATTTTTCTTTGCTGCCTTCATACTAAAAAATGTGGCCAAAAGTTGTAGTTGTGCAAACTCAATCTTTCTCCGATGCTGAATAAGTATAAATATATAAAAAAATGATAAGATAATTAGTAAATAAAATTTAATATGACATATTCGTATATAAATATAAGATTCTATATAAGAAAATCTATAATAAAGCTTATAAGATTCTTTGTAAAAAAAAAAAAATTGTATTATAAGGTGTAGCGATAGTCATATTACATTTCAGTATTTACATAAGGAGAGGGTATAGCTGAAAGTCAGATTATACATACTAGAGGCATTAATTTTATACTATGACAGACCTTAAAATTTATCTGCTTGTTATGTAGCATAATGCCAATTTGAGGAGTGTTAGGTTACTATATTTCATTTTAATTGGCCAGAAGGGGGGTTAGGTTACCACATTTTATTTTAATTGGCCAGAAGGGTCAGGTTATCACATTTTATTTTAATTGGCCAGTTATTACATTTCATTTTAATTGGCCAGAGGGGGTGTTAGATTACTACATTTCATTTTAATTAGCTAGGGGAATGTCAGGTTACTACATTTTAAATTGTCTATCGCTATATTTACATTATACAAACATCTATATATGCACCCTTTTGGATCGATTATGAGCCCGCATTTATAAAGGGCGTGCATTTAAAAGAGAATACAATTATAGAGATATGCAATTATAGAGAGTGCATATATGGAGATTTGTATTTTAATCGGCCGGGGACCCACAGTACATTTAATTGGCCATAATAACTAAAAAAACGGTGATGTATGGGCTAAAGTCATAATTATCATTCTCTCAAACTCTTGATATGCTTAAGATCTTTTTAATTATGTTTAAAGCTATAAATTCTGAGACATCTAAAAAAAATTAGCTGAATGATTTTTCAGCTAATTCGATTAAGTTTGTAATTTCGGCATATTAGCTAGTTTATCAATTCGAAAATTGCCATGCATTTAATATCATTTCACAGACAAGTTTTTTTTTTTTATAAATTCTCTAATTATATCTAACCCTAACAACAATGACTAGAATTACTTTTTCTGTAAAATAAGCTGTCAGCATCATATACTATTAATGAAATTAGCTTGTCTATAAATTAATCACCTATAAAAATAATGTATCTAGAAATGAGTATCAATGGAATTTGGTATCTTTGAAGTGATTGTCAATGAGTTGATCGGAACCGACTCGGGAGACTTGTTAATTATGCCATAATTATTGCTATGTGGATGACTCAGTTTAATTTTTTGCAGATAATACAAGATATAAATTTGAATCAATCAGTAAAATCAAAATACATATATTGTATTTAGCAGAAAATATGCCAAATTAAAATCTGGGTATATTTTTTAATACTATTACTTGAAAATTGTAATTTATCCCCAGATAAAAGGCAGGCTTGCAAGATTATTTACTAACTGATCTAAGTTTCTATTTTAATAATAAAAGATGTTAATGTAATACGAAACACAACAACTAGTTAAATAAAAAATTGTATATATAGTTTTTTTTTCAAAAAAAAAAAAGAAAAATGTTACCTATCTCACTAAAATAGGCTCTTTCAACTTAACTTCGAAAC